TGGTCCCTCAGCTGGGACCAGGGCATCACAGTACAGGCCCTTGCCCGGGAGCCCAGGGACAGCTCAGAGATGCCTTGCCTGGCAGACTCCCTCTCCTTTCCTGCCTCTCAGCCCCCGGGGCTGCCCACTCCCTTTCCAGCACCGCCTGGGCACTAGGATCTCGCTTCCCCAGAAGGCTCAGCTCCTCATCCCATCCCCTCAGATCTTCCTCTGCAAGAGTCTTTGGCTGTGTTCTCAAATTTCTCTTCTCCTACACTTCATCCTTAATATAGGTTTTTGGGCATGAGTCTTCTTGTGTTTATCTGTCCATCTGTCTCCTTGGCCCTTCCTCCTTGGGCCCCCCTCCCCTGCTGATTGTATTCAGTTCCCAGTGACTGGTGTCTGTCACCTCCTCCCCACCCCCCCAACCCAGCCTGTGCCAGATTTCTGAGACACTCTAGGCTCTGTGCTGAGTTTTACAAATATCATTTCTTTTAATCCTCAAGACAGCCCTAAGGTAGGGGCTACTCTCATCCCCTCAACACATCAAGCATGCTATAGCCTAGGCCTTTGCGCTGCCTATTCCTGCTGCCTCTGGAGTTCCTCTGCATCTTCACAGAACTCACTCCCTCACTCCTTCAGGTCTCTGCTTAGATGTCACCTTGGCATTGAGGCCCTGCCTGACCACGCAGTTTGAAATAGCTCCCTCACCTCACACTTCTTAACCCGCTTTTCTCTTTGTTTTTCTCCCTAATGCTTATGCCATCTGACATAATATATATTTTACTTGTTTATTTGCTGACAGTCCCCTCCTACCGGAAGGTAGGGTCTAAGGGGCAGGGGTGTTTTGTTTCCTGCTATTCTGCAGCACCCAGAACAGTGTCTGGCACATAGTAGGTGCTAAGTTTTCCATTTTATGAACAAAGATCCTAAGGCTCAGAGAGGTTAAGAAATTTGCCCAAGGTCTCCTGGGCAGTAAGTAGCAGAGCCCGATTCGCACCCAAAAGTGTGATTTACATTTCTGCCAAAGACAGTCAGAAAGATGAGCTCGGTGAAGGAGACTGGCCACAGGGCTGGCCCGCCGGCTGAATCATCTGGGGACAGGTGACTCACAGCCAGCCAGTGTGAGGGGCCCAAGGGAGCAGGAAGCTCAAACGAGCGGCGCTCTCCTTCCCAGAGGCCAGGAACCTCCTGTCCAGGGTGGTGAGACCCTCCTGCATCCTCCCAGCCGGCAGGAGAGGAGCTGCTGCTGGCCAGAGCAGTTCACACCAGCGGTTTTCCGCTTGGGCGGTTTTGACTTCCGGCAGAATCCATGCCCTGTGTCCTCACGCAGTGGAAAGAACAGGCAGCTTCTGCCATGGGACCCAGGCAAGTCGCCTCTCCCCAGGCCTCAGTTCCATCGTCTGTAAGACAGCAGAAAGGGAGTTGAACTCGATGACCTTCCAAGTCTGTGATGTTTTGGGCTCCAGATCCAGCTCACCCTCAGAAGCTGTGTGCAGGTGTTCACAGAGGTCCGCTCGCCTCCTCAACTCTGTCATCGTTTTCTGAGCACTTACTGTGCGCCAGGCACTTACCATATAGAAACTAGTTTAATCCTACAGTAGTACTACTAGGGAGCACTAGCACTGTCCCGTTTTGTAGCAAGGAAACAGGCACAGAGCGCACCCTTTCCCTGGGTGAATGGTGGTGCCAGAAGGAGGCACCCAGGCAGTCTGACCCCAGGGCGCTGTCGCTCTCCTTTGGCCTCCCTGTGGCGACACCACCCATGTGTGACACGGCCTATGGGACAAGCTCTGATGAGCACTGCCAGCTGCGCAGGATGGCCCGGTGGGAGCTGAATAGGAGGCTCAACTGTGAGGCCTTGACCTCTAAGGGCGGGGTCAGTGCAGCTGCTGCTTCCTCCCTGGTCCATTTACATCCTAGTCAAGGATTATAAGAAGGAAAGTAATGTCCCAGCCACTAGAAGGAAAAGGTCTGGTGAAAGGCACTGAGTGCAGTAGAGCCACCACTTACAGAATAATTTGGGCCTTGAAGGGAGACATGTAAACTTGGGACCCACTGGGGACAGCCTGCCAGAGCACAGGTCCCTGCATCTACCATGGCTTGGCCTCAGGTCTGCCTGTGTCCTCGGGGAGTAAGGGTTTCCTGGGGCCTGCACTGCCAGCCCTGGCGGGGCCATAAGGGAGGCTGAGACCCCATATAGGTTTCAGAGAAGAGGAGTGGATTGTCCCCACCTATTTGGTGGGAGGGGCCAAGAGGAAAGATCTCTGAGCTGAGAGTCAGGAGACCTGGCCTCAGTTTGATCCTGAGCGAGACATTTGCCTTCTCTTGTGCCTCTGTTGCCCCTGAGAGATGGGCACATCTGGCTTTCAGTTATCTGTCCTCATCCTTTGAGAGGTTGACGGTGAGGGGTTGAAGTAAATAGATGGGATGGTTCTGGGTTAAAAAAAAAAAGTGACACGGCAGGAATTCAGGGGGTCATTCCCTAATGCAGGAGGGGTAGTTTGCACTCACTGGGCCTGCTGCAGGAGCCTGTGGGGTGGAGTTGAGGAATGCACCTTGGCCCTGCGGGTGAGAGAATGGCCCTGGCCACGCAGCCCTCCCTCCACCTCCTCCTCTCCGAATCTTTTGCTCAGCCCCTTGGTAGCTCTTCCTGAACTTGTTTTTCCAAATCACTAATTAACTTCACGCTGGGCTCCCAGGTGGATCAACTCTCCTGGCTAACTTCTCTACGGAGAGAGCAAGCTTCTGCTTCCCAGGCTTACTGGCAGGGCTGAGATGTGCTGACCCCACCCCTTACCCCAACCCCCTCTGCTTCCGGGCTCGGAGTTCCGACATCACCACAGCCACCGGACAGGCACCTCTACCAGCTCGTCTCTGGATGGCCGTGGAGAGCCCATAGGCTGGAGCGCTTGCCTAATGCTCATATCAGCCTGTATTGTCTTGACAGTCCATGTCTCAGGGGAAGAAAACTGAAACCAGAAAAGGAACTTGAAATTCACCTTCACAGGGGAGAAGCAGGCAGGAGAGGCTCCAGTCAAAGCTGTCAAGTGGGAATGTGTGTCTGGTCTCCTACCCTGCTTCTCCTGACTTGCTGTATCTGATCAACCTGCTCATGTCCAAGTGTAAATAAGATAAGCCTTAGTGTGTGGTGTCTGTCTCAAGCTAAAGGTACCCGTTCCTAAGGGTGAAATAGTCATCAGGGAGCTGGCTGGGAGCAGTATTGATAATTCAGAGACTTTCCTGGGTCTATGAATTGACCCTGCCTCCGAGGTATGAAGAGAAGGTACAGCCCCTGAAGTTAAACAGTGCCTAAGTTGAAGTCTGATTTGTACTTGTTCCAGACTGTGTGACCTTAGGCAAGCATATAACCTCTCTGATCCTCAGTTCCTCCTTTAGAGAATGGGCTGATGAGGACTACCTCACAGGAAGAACTAAAGGTAATAACATATACAGAATGCCCAAGTGTGCCAGGCACAGAATAGACAGCTAATGAATGTTCATCCCAAAGTTCCCTCCTCAGACTTGCTCCTGCTCCAGAAGCCCTTGGAAGTGCTACTTCTTGCTTCATTTTTCTGGATCCCCCATATTCTCCATTGGGGTTTTGCCATACTCAGAACAATGTGTGCCCTCCCACCCCACCCCTCTCGGTGCAGGCTCCCAGGGAAGAAAGCCTCTCTGAGAGGTATCACTAGGTGGGGGTAGTGCCATAGCCAGGTGGAGATCAGAGTGGGGCAGGTGTGGGGATTGCCAAGTGGTCATGGGGCCAAAGTCCTCCCTCATCTACCTATTTAAGCTCAGCCCTCTGCTCAGGGAGGAAGCCCACCCACACCCACCAATCAGGACAGGCAGCAGCAGGGAGCGTGGACCCCAGCAACGGGTACCCTGACAGTGGTAAATGGCATCGCATGAATAGCAGATGAAGGCTCCGTAATTGGTGTTATTACACATGCATTTCATCTCCATTCATAATGATTGGACACTTAAACCCAGCCGTTTCTCTGCTGAGAGCCGATGTCATCATTCTAGCCGAGATCCCAGCAGCTGTTTGGATTAACTGCTGTCACGCTCTGATCCCAGTGGGTGCAGTTTATTTTTTGTTGGCGCTCAGTGTCCCAGGAAATGTCAGTTCTCGGGAAGTGAAGTATTCTGGGCAGACCATCTCGTCTCCTTCCATGGAGCGTGTTTTCTTCCTTCTTTTGCTTCTCACTGTCTGGGTAGTGAGCTGGGACATCCTAGGGTGAGAGACAGGAGAGAGGGGCTGGGATTTGGGGCTTGAGGAGGTAGGTCATGGCTGGAGCTTAATAGGCAGAAAGCCAACCCCCTGCCTCCAGGCATGTCCCGTAGTGCAGTGGCCCTCACAGTTTGGTGTGTATCAGAATTACCTGGAAGGACTGTTGAAACTTTGCTGGACCCCCTCCCCCAGCAATTCTCATTCAGTAGGTTTGGATGGGGCCTGAGGATTTACATTTCTAACTAGTTCCCGGTTGATGCTGCTGGTCCTTGCTCTCACTTTGAGGAACACTGCCTTAAAGCCTGCTTACTCCAGGTATGGTCTGTGGACAAGCAGCCTCACCTGAGAACTTGTAAGAAATGCAGAATCACAGGCCCTGCCCCAGACCTCCTGAGTCAGAATGGGGTTTTAACAAGGTTCTCAGATGATTTAAGCAACCTTTACAATTTGAGAAGCCTCAAAGCATGATTAGGTTAGAGGTGGGCAGAGCTAGGCAGTATGCAGAGCTGGGCAGCCCTGTTCTCTGTTCAGTTCCTTCCAGCCAAGAGCAGCCTCTAACTTCTGTGCATGGTAACAAGGATTGGGAGGTATTGCCTTAAAGCAAGCAAGCACTTGGATAAAGACCCTCTGAGGAAGGAATTCCAGCCCCTGACTGTTCACCTTAATCCCATCTTGTGCCATCTAACACACTGCCTGGTGACCCCTCCCCCTCACTCCACAAGCAGAGTGCCCTGTCCCTGCTTAGGGCATCCACCCCTTCTGACCTCACTCTCCTACCCACCCATAGGTGGTGGCCTTTGCCTCTCTCTTCTTCATCCTGGTCTCCATCACCACCTTCTGCCTGGAGACCCACGAGGCCTTCAACATCGACCGCAACGTGACGGAGATCCACCGAGTGGGGAATACCACCAGCGTGCGCTTCCGGCGGGAGGTGGAGACGGAGCCCATTCTGACCTACATCGAGGGCGTGTGCGTGCTGTGGTTCACGCTCGAGTTCCTGGTGCGCATCGTGTGCTGCCCCGACACGCTGGACTTCGTCAAGAACCTGCTCAACATCATTGACTTTGTGGCCATTCTGCCCTTCTACCTGGAGGTGGGGCTGAGCGGCCTGTCGTCCAAGGCGGCTCGCGATGTGTTGGGTTTCCTGCGCGTCGTGCGCTTTGTGCGCATCCTGCGCATCTTCAAGCTAACGCGCCATTTCGTGGGGCTGCGGGTGCTGGGCCACACCCTGCGCGCCAGCACCAATGAGTTCCTGCTGCTTATCATTTTCCTGGCCCTGGGCGTGCTTATCTTTGCCACCATGATCTACTATGCTGAGCGCATTGGCGCCAGGCCCTCCGACCCTCGGGGCAATGACCACACTGACTTCAAGAACATCCCCATCGGCTTCTGGTGGGCCGTGGTCACCATGACGACGCTGGGCTACGGGGACATGTGCCCCAAGACGTGGTCCGGCATGCTGGTGGGGGCGCTGTGTGCACTGGCAGGCGTGCTCACCATTGCCATGCCCGTGCCTGTCATTGTCAACAACTTCGGCATGTACTACTCCCTGGCCATGGCCAAGCAGAAGCTGCCCAAGAAACGGAAGAAGCACGTGCCTCAGCCGCCTCAGCTGGAGTCTCCCATTTACTGCAAGTCGCAGGAGACCTCACCCAGGGACAGCACCTACAGTGATGCCAGCCCCCCAGCCCCAGAAGAGGGTGTGGTTGAGAGGAAACGGGCAGGTGAGATTGGGGGTCAGGAGGGAAAGCCACCTCTCCCCTAGTGGCCAGGGAAGTTCCCAGGTGAAACTCAGCCCTTGGAATTTGGAACTGTGCTTTTATTGCTCTGGACTTCCCTAACTATAAGGTGTGTCTTTACAAGGGCACAGTATTGAGGCTGAATCTCTATGCTCTGATTCTCTGATAGCTTCCTGAGCATCAGGCTCTGTGGAGTGAGTGTCCCACTGAATCTAGGCTGCTGCGGGCAGTGCGTGGGGCTGTAAATTGGAAGTCTGGGTATCTAATCCCTTCTTGGCCAGTGCATCTTGCACTCTGAGGCCAGTCACTCACCCTCTCTGGGCATAGCTTCCTTACCTGTAAAACCAGAATGATATCAATAACTTACCACCCAGACTTTGACGAGACCCAAACGAATGATGGATGTGAGAGCACTTTGAGAAGCTAAAACCACTTTACGAATATCAGGCGCTGTCATTGTTAGCTGGAGAGCAGGGCAGCTGTTCTTCTGAGGCCCATCAACACATGAATCATTTTTTTCCAAACGTTTGAATCTAATGTCTCTTGGCCTAATTGTTGGGATAACGTAATGGCAGTGGGAGGCTGCCTTCTGTTTGGCACAAGCTAGATTGAGTCCTGGGCTTGGGGTTTAACGTGGGATGGAAGGAGGCCAAGAGGGAGCAGTCTGGACAGTGTTGGGAGCGGGGAAAGGAAAGGTGGAAGAAACTGGTACCTGCAGCCTGGAAGAGGAGAGCCTGCAGGTCTGAATCTTGCCCTTCAAGGATGGGAAGGGCCATCCCAGGAAAGCTTGCTTCTACCTGAGTCAGGAGGTAAAAGGAAATTGGCTTCACCCACAGCAACGTGGAGTTAGGTTGGAGATCAGGAGCCCAACTGTTAGGTACGGGCTCCTGAGGGAGGTATGGGATTCCTAGTAGGCGGGGGCCATTGGATGCCAGGCCACTAGGAAGCTGTGGGTGGGCCAGGAGACTAAGGTAGCAGATCCTGGCTAGGCTCTGGGGGCAAAGTGGGACTCGTCCTTGCGGGGAGGTGCTTGATTTGGGGCATTCATCTGTGGCTTGGTGGTGGTGCCCATCAGCCGCTCATTCCCTGGGGTCATTCAGGGGTCTGGGTCTTCCAGAGACTTTGATGGGACAGCACCCATCAGGCTCCCCTCCTCTCCTTGACCAAAGTGGTACCCCCTTTCCCAATCCCTGAACATAAATCTCCCAGCCAGTACCCTGGGGAATTTCAGCTCTACCCTGAGGTCCATTCAGGGCTTAAAGGGAAACAGAATATCAAAATGTACAAGTCCCTAGCTGGCTCCTCAATGTGCACTTACCTGTGGTCCCATCAGTCATACCTTAGGCTGACCCTAAATGCTTAGCCAGGGTAACGGCATTCCTGGCCACTGCCTTCAGATCCAAGGGCCCAGCTTCACCTGTGCTGCTGCCTGCCTGACAGAGCAGGGATTGGGGCTCAGCCCACAGCAGAGGGAGCTGGATTGGAGCCTCTGTTCCTCAGGGTTGTCCCCAGACACAGGTGAGCCCTGAGAGCCAAGGGCTCTGAATCCTTCGGGCATCAACTCCAGCTTGGATGCCTGGTGAATAAGAGTAAATGCCTTCAGGTAGTCCAGGGAGACAGCTGTGGAAGCCATTCTATCAGTTTAACCCTGGCAGTGCCACCTCTCACCCCAACAAGCCAAGCGTTCTCCTAGGGAATACAGACTCATCCAAGTGTCAGCCTGAGCCAGACCCATGGAGGAAGCAGACTCTGCTGCCCTCCTTGGGCTGATCTCACAGGGCCAATTTGGGGAGTCCCTGCTTAGGGTATTGGTGGTCCCATCTATGGGAAAGACTCTTGACCAAGGCTGAAAGAGAAGCCAGCATCCTGTACCCGGCCCCCAGGACCAGGCTCACTCCCTGGCTCTGGTGACACTCTCCCTTCGGTTTGAGGAAGTAATGCCTCAGGTCTGGGATCTAGGAGACCCCAGGCGACTCCATGTGGAAGGCCCAGGCAGCCCTCATTCGGCCTCCTTTCTGTCTGCCCTCTTTAGACTCCAAGCAGAACGGCGATGCCAATGCGGTGCTGTCAGATGAGGAGGGAGCCGGCCTCACCCAACCCCTGGCCTCTGCCCCCACCCCCGAGGAGCGCCGGGCCCTGCGACGCTCTGGCACCCGAGACAGAAACAAGAAGGCAGCTGCCTGCTTCCTGCTCAGCGCTGGGGACTATGCCTGTGCCGATGGTAGTGTCCGGAAAGGTATGGCTCCCCAGGCTGGGCAGGGGGACAGCCCCCATGGAGCTGAGTCTCCCCCGTGTCCCCCACAGAGCTTGAGGTCCCCTCCTCCTCTGAGGCCATGGCCACCATCTCCTCTGCCTTGGATGCACGCCCGCTTTTAGGATGATATTCCAGTCCTTGGATTAGAAAGGCCTGTAGCATCCCCAGAAAGTGCACAGAGGACCCCTGTCCAGGTGCCCACAGGGAAGACAAGTGCTGGAGGGCAATGGGACCCCAGATCTGCGCTCCTGCCCACCTCCCTCCATTTTATCACCTCCTCTTTCTCTGGTTCCTGCTGTGACCTTCAGGCCTGGCTCCATAGGGTCATTGCCAGCCTTCCCCTCGGCCTTCCTTAAGCACAGCTCAGGCTTCCCCCGAGTAAGTAGTCCCGGGAGATGCTGACACCACTCAGGAGTCAGGATAAGAATGCGATGCTGGTGTGAGGTCTTCAGAGAGCTTGGCACAGGCCCCACCTCCTCCATCCTGCACTGAGAGCCCAGAAGGGGCTGACCCAGCTCTGCAAGCCCCTGAGATATGACTGGCCACTCCAGAGAGATCCAGAAGGTGCCAGGTTGGTGGTGGTGGGCAAGGAGAGTGGGTTTCCTCTGAGGTGTGTTCTGAAGGATTTGGAGAGTTTAAGGGAAGGCTGAAATTCCATCAGCAGGCCCCATGTCGAAGTTGGGCAGTGGAGTTATTGATTCCCAGCCTGAAAAAGTAGGACTGAAATGATCAGAGATGGTTGAGGGCCAGTGCTTGGCTGAGACCCAGGGGTCTCAAGACCAGATGCTCCTTCTGCCCAGCTCCTGACCACTTCCTTATCTTTCTTGTCCTCTCTCTGTGACATAAGCTCTCTATAAACAACCTGCCTATTGTCTGGATAAACTCCAACTCTCCTTGCAAAAAAGCTCTTCCCTGGGTTCACAGGCCACTTCTTAACAAGCCTTCTTTCAGTCCACCCCCCCCCCGACAACTTCCCACTGTCTCCCAACCCCAGACCCAACCCAGGTTGAGTGAGGCAGGGACAGTGGCTGCTGTGGGAATAGCTTGTGATGCCTCTGTTCCCCCAAGGATCCTGCCCAGCCCAGGCAGCCTCCAGGGACACCCTCCCAGGCCCTTTCCCTAGCCTGCTCAGTGCCACTGTCCTCAGGGGATCCTCAGGGAACCCTTACCAAGCCCTGAGGGGTATGTGTCCAGCTTTGCCGGGTGTGTCTCCTATGGGTGGCAGAAGCAGGAGCAACAATCTGGAACCTGGAGATGGCTGGTTTCGACCAGCTAAAGTGCTGCAGATGGACAGTGTTCAGACCACTTACACACTGTCCTGTGTTCTTCTGGTCAACCCTGGCTCTGTGCAGCCCAATTCTTGGGCTCTGGGTGTGTCTGTCCCTCCTGCCTCTGACCCCAAACATGCTGTGGCTTCAGCTGTGTCCTGGTGCATACCTGGAGCCTTGCTCTGGCTGGAGCATGCTAAGTGGATGGTGTAGAAGGTTGGGTGGAGTGGACCCCACCTGCCATGTAGGACTTGAGCACAAAGAACTGAGTGTTGAGCACCCCTGTTTTCATCCAGCACAGTGATGGGCTCAGTGGAAGTAGCAGCGTGGAGGAGACTGGGAAGGTACAAGTCAGAGGAGGGACCATGAGGTCCTGGGGAGCAGGTCACACCTAGGGAAGGGGCTGCGTGTGTGGGGCCCAGGAGCCTGTATCCCACCAGCGTATCCCTCTGGGTGCTTGTGGGGCCCAGCTGCTCTATTTTCAAGATGCCTCCACACTGCTTCTTGGCAACAAGCATGTAGCTCAGCCAATTAGAGTGACCTTCGAGAGGGAACAGGTGGGTTGCTGGGAAACAGACCCTGCTAAGCAAGCGTGGCAATTATCATCGCCAAACTCCCAGCGCTCACTCGGCACCTTTCCCCGTACTAGACCATGCTGTACTTCTCTGCACTCAGGCTATATCCAGGACCAGGAGTGAGTGGGCCCGGGCCTCCTCTGGCCACTGGCACAGATGCCATCATTAGCCTGTAGCTGTCCATGTGACAGAGTGTGACCTCTTGACCCCTCAGGAAGAAAGTGGTGGGTGCCAATGAGAGCTTCTTCGGGTTGAGAAAGGAGGGTGTGGAGGGATGTGGGGTCTTCATGCATCTGGAGGGAAACTTACCTGGGGACAATGACAGGGCAAAGGTCAGCTGGGTCTGGGGCCCCTAGGGTCCATCCAGAGACCAGAGAGAATGAGGGAGCCTCTCCCAGGTGGACCACCCCCCTGCACCCAGCCCTGGGGCTGCTCGCCCTGCAGGGTTCCCAGAACATGGATCCCATGGAGCGTCTCGGACAAGGAGCTGCGCCCCTCTGACCCATGTGCCTTTTCTTCACCAAGGCTGTGGAAAGTCCCGGAGTCTAAACAACATAGCAGGAGCGGCTGGAACCAGTCTGGGGCTGTCTCCACTGGCATCGCGATACAGTTCACCCTATCCTCCAAGAAAGCTCCTGCTCTCCCACCCCTTCCACCCGCTCCCTAGTCCACCCCCCGGCCACTCAGCCCAGTAGTTGCACCCGCGGCTTGCCCCGCCTCCGGGCGCATGCGCACAAACAGGCACACGCACACGCTTCCACTTCTCTTTCCTGCTGGGCCCAGCACTACCCACAGACTTGGGGCCCGTGGACCTGAGGAGGATGCAGGAGCATTCAGGCCCCCAAGCCCCTCCTCCACAGCACCCAGATCCCCAGAATGTTCAGCTCTGGAGTCTACTCCCAGGTCTTCTACCCGACTCGCTCCCATCCTGAGCCGAAGGTGCCATCATCCACAGGACTGTGTCTCTGAGCCCTGCCTCCCCCTCGGGGTCCCACCTTAATGACAGCAAATGCATTTCCACTCCTCGGGGCCTTCAGCCAGTAACCAAACAGCCCGTCACTGAATATCTCTGTCTGTCTGTCTGTCTTTCCATCCCACACCCAGACCCGTGAGGGATAAGGCTGTCCCCTGGGGCATCTCTGCTGGAGTGTAGGGGCTTGACTCCTCAGGGGAGCAGTGCCACCTCGTGTTCTCCAGCCCTGGTGTGGGGCGCAGGTGGGGGTTGCTAGAGTCAGAGCCCCAGGATTGGCTGCCTAGGCTCGGGAATGCCCTCCTTTTGGAGTGGTACCCAGCAGCGGAGCCCGGCAGCCCATCTGCACCCTGAGCTGCAGCATCGCTCACCACGCTGCTTCCTCTGCTTCCCCGACAGTTCTTCCTCTCCCGCTCCTTCCAACTCCCAGCCCTGCCTCTGAGTCACCTGCCGCTCCCACCCAGCCTCTGCGCTCAGTATCGCTGCCAGAACCGGAGACTCATCTAATTTCTATAATTAAGTGTATTCATTTACCTAACGAGCCTGGGAGCACAACAGGTTTGTGAGTCACTGAGTGAGCAGGGGTGCACCCTGAGCAGGGGCAGCTGAGGGGAATTGTGGGGACAGAAGCCATCCTGCCCGCACCTCCTCCTGCACCAGTCCCCTGCCACGCCCAGGGCGGGCCCAGCCTGGGGGAGGTCGGGGGGCCCTCCCCATCGCACCAACCAGGCTCTCCAGGACCTCCTCAGCCCCAGAAACTCGGAACACTCCAGCCAAGACATTTCCTGTTTCACCTGATGGGAATTAGACCTGACAGCAAAGCCGTGTGCCTGGCAATTTTTAGAGTCAGATTATGCAACTTTGTTGAGGGAATGACTAAGTAAGGTCCATATCTGCTCCTTCCAGGATGGGCAAAGATAGGTAAGGCCAGACAACATTCCGGGACTCGGCAGGAGGATGGAGACTCTGGAGGCCACCCTCATGTGTGAACTGGGTAGAGAAGTCAGATGATTTCATGGGTTGGGGGCTGTGAAAAGCCTATTCCAGGAGCCTCCTCATTGCAGTGCCTCCTTCAGCCTTGGGCAGACACAGGAATGGCCCTTCCAGAAAAGTCTGTTCAAGGTGGGTGCTAGGCTACCCCAGCCTTGCTGTGGTCTGTGGGGCCTGCTTCTAGCTTGCTCTCAGAATGAAGTGTCCCCCTGAGAGCTGCGAAGAGACAGGGACATCTGTGCCACTGCCCCTCAGGAGGGGACACAGGGAAAGGGAAGCTCTGTGGGGCAGATGGAGAGCAGGGGACCTCCTCCCCCCTCAGCCCAGTCTGAGGGCCCAGCTTCTCCTCCTGCCCCCGCTGGCCTCCCTGGCTCTGACGTGGACATGATGAGCTAGGTGACCGGTTTAGCTGTTTTCTCCCCTGACATGCCTTTCTGGTTCAGGGAACCGAGGCGGCTATTTCTGTGGCAGCCCTCAAGTTGTCAGGAGCCCAAGTTTCCACGGCACCCACCGCCTCCTTCCCTCTCTTCCTCCCACAGGAATGGGCATGCTCACGGCACCCCCACGGTGGGCACAGATGTCCCTGGGCGACATGTGGCCAGGAGTGCCTTGGGAAGTGGGTTCCCACATGCCCCTCCTAGCTCTCTGGCTTCTGTAGGGTTGACACAGGACCACGCTGATGGAAGAGCTGAGCAGGCTGCCTGCCCCAGCTCCCGCTCAGGGCCTGGGAAAAGGCAGAGCGAGTCCTGGAGTGTCCCGAGCCACACTGCGCACCAGGCCCTGCCGGGGGAGGCGGCTGCCTGCACGGGCCTCAGGCTTGCCCAGGCCTTGGGCCTCCCTCCTCGGGAGAAGGCTCTCCTCCCACCCACAATCTGAGAGCACAGTTTGCTTTACCTTGCATCTGGGCGTGGACCTGTACCCATTACTTTGGCTTCTAAAAGCCTTTCCCTCACAGCTGGGGTCCAGCCCTTCCCTGTGAAGCAGAAAGCGGCCCAGGTAGGAGTTGTTACCCCTCCAGCGTGTACCAGGGCTGCTGACAACCTAGAGACCACTTCTCAGCCCCCCAGGGCTTCCGAGAAGGGTGACTGGGAGCTGGAGCCAGAGGGGAAGGTGCCTGTTCAGCCTGGAGCCCGGGCTGCATGGGAGTCAGAGGGGAGGCTGCATAACAGCCCAGGAGCCCAGGGCCACCCTTCCTGGGAGAGGAGGGCCTCCTCTGTCCTGGCCAGAGTATCAGCCTCCACAGTGCCTGCCCTACCTGTCCCCAACTGGGAAGGAGGGGAAGGGAAGGCCCAGGCCACTGCCGTCCCAGGCTGAGGAGGAGATGCTCAGAAGGGCTCACTGAGGGGTTGGGTTCCTGGCCTTCTCTCCTGAGAGGAGCACGTTTGTCCTCCCTGACCCCCTTCAGCCTTCAGCCTCCAGCTGCTGGGACTCTGTTCCTGCCAGATTGAGGAAGGGGGCAGGGCATAACATGGCAGCACACTCAGGAGCCTTTCTCCCAGCCCCCTGGGACAATGGTCTAGCCCCAGGTGGTGATGGCAGATGGGGCTATGTCAGGGGGAGCACAAGCTGGGCAGGCAGCAGCCCAGGCGATGGCCTGTGGGCTGAGCCCCGCCAGGAACTTCCCCCACTGCCTCCGTGCCAGGCGGCAGGGCTGCAGTCCCTCTCCCCACTGCACTGCAACTTTGAGGACCTGAGGGTTCATGGTTCCTGGAGCTCATTACGTGAACCGGTCTGGAGATAAGCTGTAACGTCACCAATGAGTCACTTCGGCCCAACACTGGGTCAGCAGAGGGGTGGTGAAGGGCTCACCCCTTCCCTTCCTATCCCCGCTCTTCCTGGCCTCTTAGCCCTGGGCTCCAGGCCTTCCAGCTCTGCTCCTGGCCTGTTCCTTAGCCCACAGCCTGTGGGTCAGCAGCTGCCTTCCTTCTAACATCTCATTCTTTGTTTCTCCCTTTCTTTTGCTGAACTCCTTACCCCGCCCCACCCCTGAGAAGGCAATGTTGAGCCGAAAGTGTGCGTCCCAGTGTCTCACACCTGTGCTCTTTAAACACAGAGACCTGCCAAGACGCCCTCTCGTCCAACTATGCCCAGGCTGAAGTCCTCACCCTCTCTTAAAGCGGCACCAACGTGAGAGAGAGACAGACAGACAGACAGAAAGCCAGAGGCTTAGGGCAACTCTGGAAGCCAGGCAAGAATCTTTCGCTGGGAAAGACTCAGATATCCTTGTTTGCACAGGACTGATGGAAAACCTCCCATGTGACCCCTGGGGCCCAGAGCCATCGGGTCTGATGTTCTGTTCTGTTGTACATTGAAGAGATATATATGCACATATAGTATCTATATTCATACATACTATACTCTTGTGTGTAGTGCACGTGCTCTTGGTGGTCTGTCTTTGTTAGGCTTTGTCTCCCTAAGCCCTGGCCCCACCTCATGCCTCCTTCCTCCCCCTTCACTGATTCCTTGTTTCTGCTGAATGTGTGTGTGGAACGTCCCAGGAAAAGTGCACCTGGTACTGCCGGGCCAGCCGGGTGGTCCCAGGCTAGCCTCTCCCTCTTGGGAGCGTTTCCCCGGTGGTCTGGTAGCCTAGGGGAGGCCAGATCACCACCCCCTACCCAGGGTCACTGCTCCACTAGCCCCGCCCCACCCCAGATTGGGGCTCTACCTCCCACCCCATGCCCCAGTTGTCAGGGGACTTCCTGGGGCTCTTCTGCAGCTGCTTCTACTCCTTCCTCCACCTTCCCCGTGTCCTTGACTGAGTGGGGGGTTGTCTTTTTTTTATTTCCCTGGTTTTCTGTTCTGTCTCCTTCGTCCGTTTGTTTCCAAGGATGCTGTTGGGCGGACGGGCAGGGAAGGGGTCTGTCTGCCCATCTGGCTCAGGGGTCTGAGAAGGGGAAGCCGTGGGTGAGCGGAGACCAGTTGCAATACTGTACTTCCTGGCCGGTGGCCAGAGGATGCGTGCAATAGCAGAGGCCAGGTGCCCCCTTCTACCTTGGCCTCTGCCCCTGCCTCGGCCCTCCCTCCCCACTCCCGGCCCACCCTGCCCCTCCCTGGTGTTGGTTGTCCTTTTCTAAAGCCGTCCCCTTGTGTGTCTGAGGCATGCCTAGGCTGGGCCCTGCAGCCCTGTCCTCATGCCTTCAACTGTCATGCTGTGCTCAAGCCCCAATAAAGACATCTGGAGCGTCCTGCTGTGCCCGCTGTGTGAATGACTGCCTTCGCCTCTCCTTTCTGGGTCTGTGGGGACCTCCCCAGGCTTCCCCCAACACCTGAAGAAATGCAACACATTCCTCTCTTAACCCTGCCCCCACCAATGCAGACCAGCCCCTGCGCTTAGAGCCAGACACAAATGCTTGGAGGGGAAAAGTGCTCTGCCCAAGCCCACGCCAAGAGGACTGACCTGGCCCCTGGGCTCCCAGGCAGCCCTCTGGTCTCCACTGCTGCCGCTGGCCCCCGCCCTAACGGACATAAAAGGAGAGATTCGTTCATGTAGGGAGTTCCGCGGTGTTCCTGCTGTTTTGCAGGGAGCCTACCCTCCTCCCTGAAGTTGCACCAGTTCTATGTGGGCTGAGGCCCTGGGGCTGCCGGAATCTGTGATGAGCGGATGGCTGACAAACTGAGGCTGATGGGGGACTGGTGGCACAGCTAGGACCACTCAGGGATGGGGAGTAAAGGCATCCTGAGCTTAGATAGGATGGGGGTGGTGGTGAGTGATGGTCAGACATGGACCCTCGCTGTTGTCCCTCTCACACCCCTGCGGGGGCCTGAGCGGGGCTGGTTTCAGCAGTAAGGAACTTGTGCCGTCGCTCAGAAGGGCCCACAACTGACAGTACTCAGCTGTTGCCATCTTGGTGTTACTAATAATTATTAAAGAAGGGGCCATTTTCATTTTGCATTGGGCATATGTTTGCCCTCCTTACTCTTCATACCCCAGGTGTAAACTTAGAGTCAGAGGGGCCTCAATTCAGAGCCTTGATCTGCCACTTAGCTGGGTAGTTTGGGGCAGCTTGCCAAACCTCAATTTCCCTGTCTGTAGAATGGGCATAATGATAACCCTGTCTGAGAGACAGGGAGTATGAAGACTTGGCCCAGTGTCATATGTTCACATAGGGCGTACAGTAGATACACAGAAAGTGTTAGCTCCCTCCTCACCCGTTTCCTGTAGCTCTCAGCTTTTCTCTCCAGATTTCCTTGTCCAGTCACACCAGGAAAGGACAAGAGTGCATCAGGGAGCAGGGGGTGAGGACAGCAGGGCTGAGGGGAGGGAAGAAGCAAGGAAAAGCCTGTTCCTGAAGCAAAGAGAAAATTGGGCTTGGAGCCGGGGCCAGCAGAAGCAAGGCGATGGCAGGCAGCCAGTTGTCAATTAAAGATAAAAATCTCTCCTCTTGCAGTGGAGGGCAAGTAGGGGCTGCGGCCCCCCCAGACAAGAAAAAGCCATTTGCAGCCAGGCTTGCCTCGGAGAAGCTTGGCCAGGCAATAATGGGATGGGATGTACTGCTGGCTCCATAATGATATTATGCATCAGGGCCCACATCCAAATGGTGTAGGGTTTTTTGTTTTTGTTTTTGTTTTTGGAGATCAGTGTGGAACCATTTCATGGTCAGGGGCTGAGAACCCAGCAAGCAGCCCAGGGGCACCCAACTCCAGGGTGGACCTGAGGGAACCCAGGGAGTGTAGCTGAGGGGATCCCAGGTGACACCCTCAGACCCCTGAAGGGGGAGGGGCAATGTGTAGGAGGGCAGGGTTCAGTGACAGAAGCAGAGACTGCCCCTCCCCTGCCCCCCCCCAACAAAACAGCAGGTGACACTGTCAAGGGAGAAAAGGCTCTGGCTTCCTCTGGTCCCCGAAGCTGGAATGGAGCCCAAACTAGGGATCTGGTTAAAATCAGGACCCTGTGGTGATGGAGTCTGACTCTGGGAGTTGGACAGATTCAAGCTGGAGTCATGCCCCCATCACTTCCTAGTTGTGTGACCTTGGGCCAGTTACCTGTGTGAACCTCTATTTCCTCATCTATAAAATATGGGTAATAATGCTATATACCTCATGGAGCTGTTGGGAGAATTCAGTGAGGCAGGGCCTGTGATACCCTTAGCACAGTTCCTAGCACAAAACATTGCTCCCAAATGTCAGGGCCAGGGGAGCAACTCACCGCAGTGACCAATGACCTCACCTTTCAAATAGGTGCTATGAATTCACCTCATTTTGGTGAAGCCCTTATCTCTTTGTAAAGGAGTAAGAGTCGGGGTGATAATACCAAACAGCTAACCTTTTTTAAGTGCTGAGCAGTACACCTGATGCTCCTAGAAATGAGCTTGGTGTAATCATAGTCCTTGTTTCAGAGGAGAAAACTGCAGCACAGCAATGTCAGGTCATTTCTCCAATGTCACACAGCCAATAAGTGGCAAAGCTGGGATTTGAACCTAAGCCATTTGGCTCTATGAGCCCTACACTTAGCTGCTGTCTAAATGGAATGGGGCTTCTAGGTCATCACACCTAGGATATAGATTTGTGCTTTTTAATGTTTTTCATTTCCTTAATTTCTATTGATTCTCATAGCAAAGGTATTGTTTTCCCTTTTATAGGTAAGAAAACCAAGGTTTAAGGAAGTGAGTGATTTGCTCATGCCCCCCACGCACACATAAAAGGGAGAAGGATGTCTTCTCAGGCCTCATCAATTAATTAGCACGAGGTAACGCCCGACTCAAAGAGTGATTGGTTCCGTCCGTCTGCAAACCACTGAGTTTTATTTTCTGATGCTCAGAAGTGGGGGGACTGGGATGGCGACTGTTCTGGAAACCACATTACGTGAAGAGCAGCTCGGCCTGGAGAAGACTCAGTGGAAACTTGATCCCCACCTTCAGGTATTTGAAGGGCATTGGCTGTGGGGGGGTGGGTTTAGATTATTCCCCAGAGAGCAGACCTGGGACAAGTAGGTGGAAATATTAGGAAGGCAGATTGGGTTCAAATCAAGAAGAACCTGATTTTTTGCTTGTTTTCCTTGCCATTACAAATTTAACACGTGATATTGAAAGCATCCCAAACCAAATGAACAGCGAGACCCCGTCACCCTCCCTCAATCCCACTGTCCTTCTGGAGGTGACCTCTAACATCTGGTGGTAGGTCTTTCCAGGCCTTTTGAAAAAGATTATTTCCCAACAATACTAGCAAATAGGAATGGGTTATCCTGTGGCAAATGAAGGTCCCATCCTGGAAGTTCGGAGAGACACTAGATGACCATGTTCTGGAAGTTTCTGGGAGGAATTTTTACTCAGCGTGGAAGGTGGAATTGGAAGAACTCTTCCAGTTCTAAGATGCCCTGACTTACATGGGGCCACACAGCTGTTAGTGGTGGAGGCAGGTCCAGAACCCAGGTCTTCTGAGCAGGACCCAGATCAGCTCCTTTCCCAGCATGATTGTCCTCAAAGTCCTTACCTCGAGGGTGGAATTCCCTGCTAGACTCCCTGTCTGCCTCTTCCCAGCCAATCATGGGTATAAGCCAGGGCAGAGACAGCCTTCTGTGGTACGTCCAGTCCGGAGTGGATGCTCTGGGCTTGGCTGACGACCTGTACCCTGCGCCCACCCCTACACTCTCTGCAGGCCCGACAGCATCACCACAGTGAGCATCTGCCTTCATTTCCCAGCTCCAGGCCCTGGGGCTTGCCCACCCTGGTCCCCTCACCACAGATGGCACCAGGTCACCTGAGGCTGTGGTAACCACACCCATGCCCCAGTGGCAAGAGTTGCTCAAGAGACCGGCAAGGGCTGCCAGGGACTCTGGGACTTGCTGTCTCCTGGGGGACTCATTTGGGCTTGACCCCAGCATCATGGGCTGAGAGGCAGCCAGGACGAGGGCCGCGGCTCCAGGTCAGAGGGGTCAGAGGCCCTCTGCTTTTGGAGCTGGAAGCTTCTCCTTCCCCCACAGCTCTGTGGGGCCCCCGCCCGCCACGTTTGCCGGCTTCTAGGGCTTGCTCCATGAGTCCCCTGGCACTGCAGGGCTTTGCTTTTTGCTCAGTTAGGGTCCCTGCTTCCTAAATCAGCAATACCTGGTGTGCAGAGACAGGGTGGCTGGTGGGGGTGTCCCTTCCTTTCCCCAGACTCTCCTAGATGACCTCGTCCACTCCCTTTAACACCCTCCAGGTGCTGGTGACAGCCATGTTTGTAGTGCCAGCTCAGAACGCCCCTCTCAACTTCATTCACTCATTTATTCACTTATTCATTCATTCACTCATTCATTCATTCATTCAACAAACATGTTGAGCCTCTTCTGTATTCCCTGCTAGGTGTACTCCCCACACCCATCACACTGCCTGCTGGCCCCTCACAGGCACCTCCCCTGCTTCCCTGACGCTGGGCTGTGTCTTCAGCCCTCTGCCTCCCTGGTCCTCCTATCATGTGCTGCCATCATTTACCCCGAGGCTGAGCTGGAAACTGAGGTGTCATCGTTAATCCCGCCCTCTCATTCTCTAATTCAACTCACTCACTTACCGTGCATTACCTCTTTATAAATGCCCGTACTGTGTCCTGGGGCACAGTGAACGAGACTAATGGGATCCCTGTCCTTATGGAGCTTACATTCTAATACGGGAAATAGACCAAAAGCCCAGTAGGTTCAAAATTATCTAATGATATCTCTCCGCCACTCCAACTCCAAACCATTAGCGAGTTCTATCATCCCGAGCTCTGAAGTGTACCTCACATGCTTTCTACCTCCTGCTCTCTTCCATCCAGTTTGGAAGGTGGGCTCCATCTCCCCTCCCCTGGTCTCCCTGGGCCCCACAGCCCTTCTCCCACCCTGTCTCCACCCAGCAGCCAAGTGGAACCAGGCTATGCTACCTCTGCTTCAAACCCTCAGTGGCTGGATTCCCACTGCATTTCAAACAAAATCCAAACTCCTTCGAAGTTAGGCAGGCCCTCAGGGCCCTGCTGCTCATCAGGCCCTTTCCTGCCTCTGCTGTTTTCTGTCTCTGCAGCCTCTCAGTTTCTTCCTGGAACTCAGCACTCCTTGTAACTGTATTTCTTTATTGCCTGCCTCCCTGTAAGTACCTGGGGCCCTAGCACAGTATGAAATAAATGTTTTATGAATGAATGAATGGGCAGAGATGGGCTTGGCCTGAGGAGCTGCTGATCTCTGTCCTCTCTTTTCCCTCCCAAGCTGTCTCGGCTGGCTTTGGCACCTCGCTTCTGGGGCATTCCTGGGAGTCCTTGGGGAATAACAGGAAAGCGCTTCTCTTTACATTATGCATCTCCTGCCCGAGAAACTGTCAGAATGATGAGGAGGGCTGAAGGAGAGGGACTGAGAGGAGAGTTCCCATAGCT